AGAGAGAGAGAGAGAGAGAGAGAGAGAGAGAGAGAGAGAGAGAGAGGTACAGGTTGTTGGCAACCTCCATCCATCGCCGTTGTGCAATTTGTCTGTTTTTTAACTTGGCAGGCAAAGCTAGAACAGGTATAATCGACTACGTACTTTTACTACTTACCAAGTTACTACTCTGATCCTGGATGTGGACAGGTGAGACTCTTCAGGATGAACGTGTTCATGGCGGCGCTTTTCTTGGGAATGATGGCAATCAGCTTCCTCAGAAACAAATGCCGGTAACTATTCACGCCTCGACTTGTCCGTCTTGATCTAGCGTTTAGGGTTTTCAAACAGCAGGAGAGGTTAATGAACTGGAATGTAAACCTTCATTGAACTGGAATGTAAACCTTCATTGACATTCTCAGACAGCATCACACATGCATGATGCGTATATATAAATTATATATGAATTGTCCTGCTCCAGGTGTTTTCGGAAAGCACTGATATGGGAGAGGCAACAATAAGGTAGATGTGATGTTATTGCGAATCCTGTTCTCCACGTGCCTTCAACCTTTTCATTGATTGAGTGCTTGTCAACGATCATTGTTATGCAGCTCAGTGAAACTGGTCGAGTTCAATTTCTTGGTCCAACAAGCTGACCCACACACATTCTTGTCCTCTTTAGTCTTTCCTTTTCACAGTGTGACGCGCGCGTACACAAAATCAAACCTGGTCCACAAGCTGACCCACAAAATCAAACCTGGTCCTTCAGCAAGATGGTTCAAGAAGCTTTGGAGGAGTGGGGTCCAGGTTGTGGGACAGCTTGTGGACCAGGTTTGATTTTGTGGGTCCGGGGCGATTATCCTTATGCGGTACAACAAAACTGGGCGAGTGCGATTTTGTGGATCCAGGTTGTAGTGCTTCGGCATGATGGTCCAGGACCTTGAAGGATTGAAATCCAGGCTGCGGTCCAGTTTGCGGTCCAGTTCATAGTCCCGGTTGTTGTCTGGTTCTGGTCTGGTTTGTGGTAGGGTTCTGGTCGAGGTTCTGGTCCAGGTAGTGTTCCAGGTTTTGGTCGAGGGTGTGCTTCAGATACTTTGTAAGTTGTAAGTTTTTTATTATGTTCGGTTTCCAAAACTCTCCAATTAGCACACGCGTCACACATGCTCATCCTGTTTGTCAAAGACGATTAACGACTCCTTGGGTCTCAATGAGAGAGACGATATGACAGTTTTATCAAGGGATTGTAACAAACGATATTCCAGACTGCTTGTTGATAATGAATGGGAATCGGAATTCCATATTATATTATTATGACCTAAATGATAAAAGAAGAATTAATAAGGAAAGAGAACAGAACAGAACAGAACAGAACAGAAAACAAAAGAGTAGACCCTTATTTTGGACAGTTTTTTTTGGTTTTGTTTTTTAGGTTTTGAGTTGGTTGATTTGCTTCTAATACCGCGGTCGGGGTTCTGCTTGGCCGGAGTGCCTTGCTCAGCCCATCGACCGCGGTCAATGATATAAGGGACGCTGGGCCCATTTCCCAGTATATATTGAATCCGAGACTATTACGAGTGGTATTTGTTGAAAAAAAAAAAAAAAAAAAAAAAAAGAATGAAAGACAAGGAAGGATATAATGTCAGATCCTCAATTGCAGTCTGTGCTTTCCTGTTGTTTTGTTTTCTCTTCATCTTTCCTTATTGTGGTAGTGAAATGCTGTAGGGGACAAAGTCGGAAAGCGATGACATAGTACCGTGCGGGTATTGATAAGCGGCCCGAGGAACTGCAGGGGAGTCCCCTCCCCGCGCCCCGCCCCTCTGAGGGCCATCCTGCTGCGTGTCTGGGTGCTGCTAATAAGCCTCCCGGCCAGCAGGGTGGCCCACGGAGAAAGACCATGGTTTGGGGGGGTGGGCCCCCTTCTGCAGCTCCTCACTTGCTACCGTCTTCACCCGAATATAGAACGCCCGGTTATTATAGCTGTATCTGGACTGAAAAGTGCACCAAATACGGCTATCATGACCGGGCGTTCTATTCGGGTGAAGACGGTAGGTGACTAATGCCACAAGGGTTAGACTGTTCCCTTTCTCTGATCTGATCTCCCCGCTTCCTTGGATGTACAAACATGCTTGCCGGTGATAAGCAACTGGACTGTGGCCCCCCCAGAATAGAAGGGGCCTTGTGTTGTGAAAAAACCAAAAAAAAGGGGGTGGGGTGGGGAGAGGGGGGGGGAGGAAGCAGTGTGAGTGCCGTACTCCTTCGTGTTCTGTTTTTTTTTTTTTTTTTTTTTGGGTCATACTCCGTCGTGACTGTCTCATTAAAATCTTAATAAGCTACGTTATGGGATTTGTTGAGTTTTGTTCACTTTCCGAGAGCATGGAATATTCCTTGTTCGCATGTTCTGTTGCTTTTCTTCTAAGCTGTGTACCCTTACCACTCTGTGAGAAAAAGGAGTTGTGGGGCGAATCAGAAGGCAGGGAAAAAAAAAAAAAAAAAAAAGGTGAAACACTGCGTCCCTCGGAACATCTGTTAAAATTGGAACGATACAGAGACTGAAGATTAGCAAATGGCCCCTGAGCAAGGATGACACGCAAAATCGAGAAATGGACCAAATGGTCCAATTTAAAAAAAGAAAAGAAAAAGAAAAAAAAAGGTGAAGCACTGCACTAATTAACTTTTGTGAGGGACGCCGGGCCCGTTTCCCGGCTTTGTAAAAAAAGGTGGTGAAGCACTGGAGCTGTGTAATCTGTATAATGGTGTATATTTCATTTTCTGTTGTTTTCTCAAGGTTTCTGGGGTATCGGACAAATCGGAAATGATGTGGCTGCTGCAGAATGCGAACATGAGACTCTATGGTGGTGCTCAGTACCACCGGGCAATGGGAGAGTTTCGACAAGTGGTGGGTGCCATGAGGTGTCCGTCCGTGAATAGAGAAGAGATTGTGAATGCCTGTGGTGTAGAGGACATACATGACGGAACAAACTACTTCAGGCAAGTATGGAGCATTTCCAATTAGAGGCACACTGTCCCCTCACGAAAGCCCGCCCCAAACAACGGAAAAAAAGCAGGTATACTACAAAACCGGAGAAAGGCCATGGTCTTGGGGGGGTGGGTGACCTCCTGTTGCAGCTCCCCCCTTGTCAGGCGACTAGTACCACTGTTCCCCTTTCTCGTCTGATCTCCCCCCCTTCTCTCTGGATGTACAAACATGCTTGCCGGTGATAAGCAACTGGACTGCTTTCAAAAAGAAAAAGAAAAAAAGAGGTATTACAAAACTCTGTAAGAATCCTTTACACAATGTACACATCGTTTTATTTTTAAATTCTAAGTTCTTATAATCCAGAAATGGTCCAAAACAATTCTAATTTCAATGTTTTTTTGCCTGAGAAGTTTTAAGTGGAGAGATTTGAATTTTCGAACTCGATTTAATATTTAATATTTATCGATTTACTCCGAGCAGTAAGATTACTGTTCCACATTTGACTCAGGTTTTAGTGCAGTTACCACAGTAAAATGGCAGGTATGGCAGTGAAGCTTGTTCTGGGTCTATTCAGGAGACGCGCCTTGGCTGTCGACGTTCTCGTGTTGGGCAAAAAGAAAGTACTTGTGTGTTTTCAACTTTTCACTACTTGTGTGCCTTGGCTGTCGATGTTCTCGGGTTGGGGAAAAAGAAAGAACTTGTGTGTTTTTGCTACTTGTGTGCCTTGGCTATCGACGTTCTCGTGTTGGGAAAAAAGAAAGTAGAACTGTTTTCACTACTTGTGTGCCTTGGCTGTTGACGTTCTCGTGTTGGGAAAAAATAAAGTACTTGTGGTGTGTTTTCGCTACGTGTGTGCCTTGGCTGTCGACGTTCTTGTGTTGGGAAAAAGAAAGTACTTGTGTGTTTTCGACTTCGTAGGGAGCGTCTCCACTGACATATGTCTAGGGGTTTCAGAGTCCGAGAGAGACGTTATCTGAAATTGCTGTTTTTCAAACGTTTTTTCCCCTTAAATAGGTGGTACCGTGGTAGTTCCTAACATTGTTTTATCTGATGGGCTTTGGACACTAGATCTGTTTATAAAAAGTTATGCATGTACTATTCAGCCAACAGGGCCAGGACGAAAGCGGGTAGCCCCTAACCGTATTGTATCAACAGCGTCTGAACACCAGATCTTTTCGTAATTAAGGTTTATATATAATATGTAAGTATGTACTATGTACAATTGTACTATACCATTTAGTGACCAGGAACAGGAGTGTAGCGTCGCCCCTATCCTTTTTGTATCTAGCCTTTGCAAATCTTAAACTGGATCTTTTTCTGGACAGAAGTTTACGTATCATTCATTCACCAGCCGCAAGACACTTGGTATCAGCTCAGCTTGTCCAATGTCTCAGGATGCTGCAGAGCATTCATGGCGTGGCATAACCTCAATGCCTTGCAGTGTTGTTCATCCGTGTTCCTCGAAGGAAATGAGGAGAGAGTTAAAAGGGGGGGGGGGGGGGAAGCGATCCTTGAAGACATCTGTTAGAATTGCAATGATACAGAGACGGTTAGCATGGAAAAAAAAAACAGAAAAACAAAAAGACATCCGTTAGAATTGCAACGATACAGAGAAGGTTAGCATGGCCCCTGTGCAAGGAATCCAAGGATGACGCGCATAAATCGATAAATGGTTAAAATTATTTAAGTGAAAAGGAAAAAAGAGGGGGGAAAAGGCGGAGTCATTCTTTCCTTTGCCAGAGTCCATTCTTATCCTCTTCCTCTGAATTATTGCTCATCATCACATTTAAATCACCAGTACTTGGCCCATACATCGGCCGCGGGCCCCTGAGCGCAAGTTTCAGAGGGCCCAGAACGACAGGCGGGCCATCTGTGAAACGAATCGATGGCCTGCGCCAATCTTTATGATATTTTTTTCAAATTTTTTGAACTTAGCGCACGTAATTTACTGAATGTACTGCTCATAACTTATTGAACTTACTGCTCATGACTTTATTGAAATTTACTGCGCATGGATGTATCTACGTCTTGCGATTGTATGATCCTTCTCCTACCTTAGAAAGGGTTATTTGCATGTCCCTCACTGACGGGCATGATTGATGATATTTCTGGGTTTGTCTTATGTGAACTGCCCTCGTTCACGGTCACCTGCAGGACAGCTTGTGTTATTGCTGTTGCGAAGGCAAGGGACGTGTTCGAGCCATTCTTGTACCAGGTGTGATTCAGTTTCAAGGTTATCGACGAGTCCACCGAACCTCCTGCGAGTTTAATATCGAAACTCTGTAGCCCGTAACATCATTGAAGCCGTGAAGTGGACTCGATTGCCTGGTTGCTTCTTTAGTGGCTTAGTTGGCCACCCCTCTGTCTCGGTTATAGCTGTATTTGGTGCAATTTCAGTCCAGGTACAGCTATAATGACCGGGCTTTCTATTCGGGTGAAGACAGTAGTTGGCGGCCACCCCTGTGTCTTGGTGCTTGTCATGCTCCCTCGCCGCTCATTGTGGTGCCGGTCCACTCCACCTGTCTGCCTTAGTGCTGGTTAACATGTTTCCTTGCTGCTGGCCTTGTTCTCTGTCTGTTCGACCGGAACGGTACCCTTGTGCCTGCATGCTTTGCCGCTGCCTGGTCTGTTGCCTTGCCAGGCCTTGTGCGCAATTGCGTTTGGCGCTGATTTGACGCTCTTTGTTCTGCCTGTGGTGCCACCTGTCTGTCTTGGTGTTGCCTGTGAAGTGACATTGGCTGCCTTGTTGTCTGTCTGTTCGACCAGAATGATACCCTTCTGCCTGCATGCTTTGATGCTGCCTGGTCTGTTGCCTTGCCTTTGCGTTTGCCTGGCCGCCAGGCCTTGTGCGCTGTTGCCTTTGGCACTGATTTTGCCTGTCTGTCTTGGTGTTGCTTGTTAAGTGACATTGGCTGCGGGGGGGGGGGGGCTTGTTAAGTGACATTGGCTGCTGACCGCCTGCATGTGTGCACCCGTGCCTCCACATTTACCTTTCTGCTGCGTGCTGCATTGCTTTGATGCTTACCTTGTCGTTCAATCGCCTGGCCCGGTGCTCCCTGTCGGCGTGCCTTGCTTCTTGCGTTGCAGTGTGTGCGTGTGCACCTGCTCTGCTGTTCTTTTGCGTGGCCGTGTTCGTCGGAACTTCATCCCTCTGCCTGCCCGCTTGTATCAGGGTCCAAAGCTGACTATGGCTCGTACCTTCTTCACCCGAATACACTGCACGGTCATTATAGCTGTATTTGGGGTATCTGTCAGTCTAAATACGGCAATAATAACCGTACGTTGTATTCGGGTGAAGAAGGTAGTACCATTAGGGAACTCTGCAGATTGTTGAGGGGTTGAGCTCCTGATGAATCAGTGAGAATCCGACGATCTGACGAAATTGTCTACCGCTTGTCGAGGGGTTTGGCTCTTGATGAGTTGGTGAGAGTCTGATGATCTGACAAAATAGTCTACCACTTGTCTGTGTGTTTCAGTGCATTACTGTCTTTATGGCTGCCCACGCGCCCTATTCGCTGTCTTCTAGCCGACTCACGTGCCATGTAACGTGTTGTCTTCTTTTGGCGTGTTTTTCTCTTCATCCTTATCATGCCGTGGAATGAGAAAAGCTGCATGACTCCTCCTTATGCATGTCAAATGTATTGCTCTGTTGTTATCGCACTTGCATGGTGCAGTCCACAATATTGTGCCCTGTGCTATGCCGAGTGTTATTCAGGTCGTGCTGCATTCGTTCTGTGGTTAGGGGTTAGCAACACCCGTGCACATGCACAAGCACAGGTACTTGGTTTCAGATGTGCATGTGCATTATTGCATGTGCGCACTTCCTCATGGGCGTGTGCACATCATTGGCATGCGTCATGGGCAGGCTGCGCCGTCACCTTTTTCATACATGTGTGTGCATGTGTGTGCATGTGTGTGCATGCGTGTGTGTGTGTGTGTGTGTGTGTGTGTGTGTGTGTGTGTGTGTGTGTGTGTGTGCGTGTGCTGTACGTCTTCCATATTTGACCTGCCTCTTGTATTCGCTTAGTATGGGCATACATTTCATTCAGGCATCTAGACAAAGGAAAATAACTCGAAAAACCAAAAACGAAAACGACAACCAGGCAAGTAAAGTCCGAAATTTTGGCCTGGTATTCTAGACAGAATCTGACAGATCTTAAGAAAGTGTACAGCGGCTGGAGCCCGATGTCTCAAGTCTGATTTTTTTTTTGTTGTTTTCCCCCCCTAGAGCTTGGGAAAAATGTTGGATCTTGTGGCAGGATTCTGCTGAAAAGTCTATGCAGAGAAAGCCAATCAAAATCGATGAAAATTATCAGAAAATTAGAAAAACGCACATTAAGAGGGGTTGAAACTTGAAATTTGAAATTTGTGACAGTTAATCCCCTGGCGATCGCCTAGGGCAATCACTGCCGTGCAACCGACAATCCTCCTGTGTTTTATCATGTGAAAAAACAGACGCAAAAGAAGGTGGGGGGAAGTTGGCGGAAACCTGGCGAACTTCCTTTTTTTTTTTTTTCAGGTGTTTGCCCTTAACTAATTGATGATAAAGTTGTATAACTATGCTGTTCCATTTTTTTTTTTTTTTTTTTTT